TCCAAAAATCAAACAGGGATCTAGATCTGTGGCCGACTATGCCATTGAATTCCGTACATTAGCCTCTGAGGTAACCTGGAATAATAGTGCCCTGATAGTGTTTTGTTTTTGTTTTGTTTTTAGGGACTCTCTGAATCCTTACAAGATGAGGTGGCAGCTAGAGATCTTCCAGAGCTCCTTGAGGATTTGATACAGTATATGTCAGACATAGATATAAGGGTCAGGCAGAAACATCTTCATCTAGATAGGCAAAGAAGGGCTTTAGGGCGAACTGCTTCTCGTCCTATGGTTTCCGGACTTCCATCCTTACCGGCACCTGAACCTGATCCCGAACCAATGCAATTAGGTACTACCAGATTTTCTGAGGCTGAAAAGTCTTACAGAAGGAGGGAAGGGTTGTGCCTATATTGTGGCAAAAAAGGGCATCTATGTAACAACTGCCCATCTCGCCCGGAAAACTCCACCGCCTAAGCTCGTTCAGGGGACTGGCCTTGGGTGTATGGTCTCTGTCCCCTAAAACAGCTCCACACAGGTGTCTTATACCTGTAACCCTTTCTTGGGGAAAGTTTTTTGTCACCAAACTATGGCCCTCATTGACTCTGGTTCAGCTGACAACTTTATTGACCAGGCTTTTTCATCATCCATTTCTCTTCCTCTGAGGCCATAGATGGTAGACCTTTAACAGTCCCGTATGTGACACACCAAACGGAAGCTGTTATCGTAGCGGTGGGCGCAAACCATCAAGAAAAATTGTCATTTCTTCTTCTTGCTCCCTAGTTCTTGGGTTTTCCCTGGTTACAAAAACATAACCCTATTCTTTATTGGAGAGAAAGATAGGTTTTGTCTTGGAGCCCCTCATGTGAACCTACTTGCATAAATCATGTTAGACCCCTCTGCTCTCTTAATGTTCCTACATCCCCTCCACTATCCACTATTGTGCCACCTCAATACCAGGATCTTAAGAGTGTTTGTTTGTTTGATAAAGTGGAGGCGGTCCGTCTTCCTCCTCACAGACCCTACGATTGTGCCATCAAGCTTATTCCTGGCACTATGCCACCCAAGGGAAGAGTATACCCCCTATCTCAAATAGAGAATAAGGTTATGGAGGAGTACATCCAAGAATCCCTAAAAAAGGGATTTATTAGACGTTCTTCTCCAGTAGGGGCAGGTTTCTTTTTTTGTTTCTAAAAAAGAGGGGGATCTTCGCCCATGTATAGATTAGAGGCCTAAATAAGATTACTCTTGAGAATGCTTACCCCATACCCTTGATAACAGATCTCTTTGACAAGCTTCGTGGTTCTAAAATATTTACCAAACTAGATCTTAGAGGAGCATACAATCTTGTTCGCATCAAAGAGGGAGATGAGTGGATGACGGCATTCAACACCCAAAGTGGCCATTATGAATACACCGTTATGCCCTTCGGTCTGTGTAACGCTCCTGCCGTCTTCCAAGATCTCATCAATGATGTTTTAAGGAACTATTTACACACTTGTGCTATTGTATATCTCGACGATATACTCATTCACTCTCCTGATATACCAACTCATCACAGACAGGTCAGAAGCATATTACGGACACTTCTTGCCAACGGCTTGTATTGTAAACTCGAGAAATGTTTATTTGATCAAACTTCCATTCACTTTTTGGGTTACATAATATCTGCTAAAGGGTTTCAAATGGACCCTAAAAAACATCTTCCATTCTCGAATGGCCTTTACCCATTGGACTAAAGTCCATACAGAGATTCATTGGGTTCGCCAATTATTATAGACGGTTCATCAAAAACTTTTCTCAGATAATAGCTCCAGTTACTGCTATGACTAAAAAGGGAGCGGATCACGTCTATTGGTCAATAGACGCTAAGGCCTCCTACTCGCGCTTAAAGAAAGCTTTTGCATCTGCTCCTGTCCTGGTACACCCAAATCCTTCTAGACCCTTCATCCTTGAAGTAGATGCCTCTGAATCCGGTGTGGGAGCTATCCTTTCCCAGAGGGAGTCTCCAACCGCTCTGTTGCATCCTTGTGGGTTCTTTTCTCATAAATTGACACTTGTAGAAAATAATTACAATATAGTTAATAAAGAACTATTAGCTATAATCTTAGCTCTTAAAGAATGGCGTCACTTACTTGAAGGTTCTTTCATACCTCTCATGGTTCTTACTGATCATAAGATTTTATCATATTTGAGTGACGCCAAAAGACTTTCTTCCAGACAGGCATGCTGGGCTCTTTTTCTTTCCCGTTTTAACTATCTATCTAATCTCATATCGACCAGGGCATCATAATATCAAAGCCGATTCACTGTCCAGACAATTTGCTACTCTCGATGAGGAGGAAATAACTGAACCCATTATACCCCCTGAGAATTATTGCAGTAACTAGAACCAGAGTTTCATCTCCCCTTCTGCACAAAATTCAAAAGGCTCAAGATAGGGCGCCGGTTGACAAACCTGCTGAGAAATATTTTGTTCCTCTTAATTTAAGAGGAGAATTTTTTTTGCCACTACCATGACAGCAAAATGGCAGGACATATGGGGTTGTCCAAGACTATTGATTTAATCGCCCGGCAGTATTGGTGGCCGTCCCTCAGGAAGGACGTACAAGCCTATGTATCGTCCTGTGATGTATGTTCTCAGTCCAAACCTTCTCATCAAGTACCATGTGGTCTTCTGCATCCTCTTCCTCTACCGTCTGTTCCATGGTCACAATTATCTATGGATTTTATCGTAGAACTACCACCATCAAAAGGTTTTACAGTTATTTTGGTTGTAGTAGACCATTTTTCTAAGATGGCACACTTCATTCCATTAAAGAAGTTACCGTCTTCTGCTGAATTAGCCAACATATTCTCTAAGGAAATAATACATCTACACGGTATGCCTGACCTAATCGTGTCTGATAGGGGCTCACAATTTATCTCGAAGTTTTGGAGGGGCTTTTGCAAAGACATGGGTATTGAGCTCACTTTCTCCTCTGCTTATCATCCACAGACCAATGGTGCTGCTGAACGGACTAATCAAAGCCTTGAGCAATACCTCCGCTGCTTTACGTCTCATCTCCAAGACAACTGGGCTGACCTTCTTGCCTGGGCTGAATTTGCCAGAAATAATGCCAAACATTCTGCCTCTGGCCACAGTCCCTTCTTCGTCACGTATGGTCGTCATCTGAATTTGCTCCCGGCTTCGTTCTCATACAAAGGGATGCCAGTTATGGACGAGCACTTGTCTACCATACAGGAAACTTGGAGAAGGGTTCATGCCATCTTGGAAAAGACTACTCTTTCTCAGAAATCCTTTGCCGATAGGCACCGTAGAGCAGCACCTTCTTATGTTACGGGTGATAGGGTCTGGTTGTCTACATGTAATATCCATTTGCGTGTCCCCTCCATGAAATTAGCCCATAAATATATTGGCCCCTACAATGTTCTACGTAGGATCACTTCTGTGTCCTATGCTTTGGATTTACCCAGGAACCTTCGTATACCCAACGTCTTCCACACCTCTCTCCTAAAACCGTTGGTTTGCAACAGTAATTCTAGACCCCGTTCTCGTCCTCCTCCTGTTTTAGTCCATGGTCAGGAGGAGTACGAGATACGACACATCATCAATTCTCGTGTCTCATGTGGATCGCTTCAATACCTGGTCCATTGGAGGGGTTATGGACCTGAAGAACGCTCTTGGGTTCCTGCTTCTAAGGTTCATGCGCCCTGACTTGTTCGCGCGTTCCATGCTAGGTTTCCTTCTCGCCCTTCTGGTGTTTCTCCAGTGGGCATTCCTTCCAGGGGGGAGGGGGGTTTCTGTCATACCTCTCTATCCGCGCCACTCCAGACCCGCCATCCTTCCTGCTCCGCCGGGCTTTGCGGATCTCTGGCCGGCATCGCGCGCTCAGGTGCGCACGCTGTTTCCAAGGGGTTCTGTTAACTTGTGTCTCTTTGGTATCTGACTTCGGCTTTTCTTCTGGTTATTCTTATCTCTGCAAAAAATAAACTAAAATCGGATAGTACCCCTTTAAGGAGTACTACCAATTAACTGGTATCGATGTAGTGGACACACCGAAACAAAACCAAATATACCTATAAACTTATATAGAGAGGATACAAAGTGGGGTTTGCAAAATATCAGAGCAAGGCACACGGAGTATGAAATGTGCAACAAAGTATCGTGGCAAAACTAATGTTGCGATTAAACTTTATTGCCGTTTGCCAAAAAATGAAACAGTTGCCTCAGTGCACTTAAAAAGTAGAGCTGCTGAAACCCTATACAATCGTGGGAGACTGCTTCAAGGCAATTTGAACGGCAATGCTTATTTGTTGCTTGGTGTTGAAACCTCACATAAGCAGAGACTAATAATAAAGCCCTATTAAAGCAGTCATCCCAATGATAAAGGTGTAATATATGGGAGAAAAAGAAAAGTGGTATTGCCTCCCTTATGAACACCTGTAATAGATGAGCAGGTAGGTAGAGGAGATAGTAGGGAACATATACAAAAACAAAGATCTCCCTTGGCATATATGGACAGCTCAATGTATTAGCCCATAAGCCATGAAATCTATCTGGGTATTATACTGCTGAAGGTACTGCTATTCTGCTTCCCTGCAAACTCCTTATAACACCTTCGTGGGTGTTCTATGCTAGAACTAGCACTAGGAGGAGTGTCCCTATCTACAGAGTGCCTGCTCGAAATCCTACTCCAAATGATACATTAGTATAATCAACTGAAAAAATAAAAGTAAAAAATATTGAACAAAATAATAAGTGCAGTTAGGATTCCCTTAGGTGCATAGTAAGTGCATCGTGAGTGCTCAAGTGAGGTGTCGGGATATCCTAACAAAGACCCGACGCGTGTTTCAGAGTTCGAGACTCCTTCGTCAGGGGATGAAATTTGCCGCCCAAATCCCCCCCGTGTTTTAAAAGTGGTCTAGCCAATCATGCGGTAGAACCCAAATCCGTCATCAATGACGTTTCAATCATATACCACGTGAGGATATTGTGGGTGTGATGCTTACATCATAAGATTGGCAGCTTAGACACACTCCCTCTTACATCGTACACATTGTCAGAATATCGCTTAAATTAGGTATCCACAATTATGAATTCAACTTATGGGATTTCATAAAGACATAAAGTTGTTATATTATTGTATATTCACTTCTGTTAAACTAAGAACATCAAGCAGATTATGGTACATTAAACCAAAGATTTTTTTTTTTTTAAATATTATAGATAAACATAGAATAAACTAAAGATTATTCAAATTATATGAATAGAATTAAAGAGAGATTCATTGATTTCTCTAAAGTTTCTTGAAATAAGTCACTGTAAACTCTTATATATATAATGAATATCTATAGCTTGGGATAAATAGATGGTGAATAAAGAATACCTATTAAGTAAATGGATATCTGTGAAAAGGATAAAAGAGGGGGGGAGGGGGGAAAAGGGGAAGGGAAATTACTTAAGAGAAACTGAGGGCTAAATAATGTCTTCAGGCGAAAAAGTGTTGAACAATAAATTTTGAAAAATAATAGTAAGAAGAAAATACACATAAATAATTAACTAGGGTATATTAGTTATAAAGTAACAAAATTCAAATGTCCATAAAATTGTATTAGAGACTTTTAAATAAATGGGGTATACAAAAATCCCTCATTGCAACCCCTGGGGGATAGCGTTTGGAGACGGTAAATCCAATAGCACTCACGTCTTCTCAGACGTTGGTCCCAATTGCCTTTCCTTTGATCTGGTTTGATTAACTCAATGCCCAAGAAGTTAAGGACGGTAGGATCCCCTTTGTGGACTACCTTGACATGTCTTGAGACAGGGGTGTCGATGTTCCTTGTTGTTTTGACTGAATTTATATGTTCAAGAATTCGTTTTTTGAGAGGTCTGAAGGTTTTGCCAACGTACATAAGATGACATTGGCAGGTAATTAAGTAGACCACCCCTTTCGAATTACAATTGAAGAATGACAAGGGTTTGAAATTATCGGTGTTGGTGCTGTTGCAAAAAATTTTTGAATTTGGACTTATATATCTGCAGGCTTTACACCTTCCACATCTATAAGTGCCTTTAATTTTTTCTGACAACCAATGTGTTGGAGGTTGGTTAGATTGAAAATGGCTATGCACCAACATATCTTAGGTTTTGGCCTCTTCTTGCTGTTAGGGATGCGTATGATGGAAGTATATCCCTTAATTGTGCATCCTGTTTTAAGAGAGGCCAGAACCGATTCATAATTGCTTTTACTTGGTCCCATCCAGCATCGAAAGTTGCAATGCATCTAATTTGTGTCTGTACTGCTTCCTTTGGTAAAGTCGGGGGAATCATATGTTCCCTCAGAAGACTTTCTTGCTCAGTTAGGAGGGCTCTGTGGTATGCCCTCTTCAGGCACTTATTAGGGTATCCCTTTGACCTGAACATTGAGCGTAGTTCTTTTGCTTGCATCTTGAAATCTTCCAAGTCAGAGCAGTTTCGTCTTAGACGTAAATATTGGCCTGTGGGAATTCCCCTCTTCTGCTGAATTGGATGATGACTTTTCCAGTTCAGCAGGCTATTTGTAGCAGTACTCTTCCGAAATAGGTTTGTTTTTATAGTGCCTTGTGGTTCTGGAGATATGAGGTCAAGGAAACTTAGTGAGGGAGTTCCAATTTCAGCCGTAAATTTAAGGTTGAGATCATTCACATTTAAAACTTGTACAAATTGAAGAAATTGTTCCCCTGACCCAGTCCAGATGATTATAATATCATCTATGTATCTTTTCCAAAGGTGTATATACTGGGTCAGGGGATTTATTAAAGGAGAAACAAACACCACTTGTTCCTCCCACCACCCAAGGTGCAGGTTAGCATATGAGGGCGCACAAGACGTCCCCATAGCAGTATCCCATATTCTTATCTCTGGCTTCCTTGACCTTTGGCTTTGTTTTCCGATTACGCTTCCTGCTCTAACCCTGACTTTGGCTTGCCTGACGTTCCTATTTTGTATTTCTTCTCCGCATTAAATCCGGCCACTTTAAGGACCGGTAATACGTTTACCTGGGGTTGCCTTTCTTGTCCTTTAGTTTGCGTGTTGGGGAGCTCAACCTTGACAGGAGGAAAGACGAGACAGGGGGGATTTGATGGAAACATTTAAATACATAAAGGGAATCAACGCAGTAAAGGAGGAAACTCTATTTAAAAGAAGAATAACTACCACAACAAGAGGACATAGTTTTAAATTAGAGGGGCGAAGGTTTGAAAATAATATCCGGATGTATTACTTTACTGAGAGGGTAGAGAAATGCATGGAATAGGCTTCCAGCTGAAGTGGTATAGGTTAACACAGTAAAGGAGTATAAGCATGCGTGGGATATGCATAAGGCTATCCTACCTATAAGATAAGGCCAGGGACTAATGACAGTATTTTAAAAATTGGGCAGACTAGATGGGCCAAATGGTTCTTATCTGCCGTCACATTCTATGTTTATGTTTCTAAGTCGGTGCTCGACTTCCCTCAGGTGGTGCTGGATAAGTTCCTGAAGGAGGTAGCTTTGGGGCAGATCGCGGGGTCATTTAAGGCCCCGCCGCTCCCCAATTTGCGGGTCCCCCTTCGGCCTGGTGCCCTAAGAGGAGGCGGGGAAGTTTCAGCTGACTCATCGTGTGTCCTCAAGGGAGTTCCGTGAAAGATGCCTCTGTGGAGCTGTGTCGGGTGTCCTAGGCATCCTTCGATGCTGCGGTGCACATGGTCAGGGTGGTGGGCCCTGGGGCATTGCTGGCGAAGGCCGACATCGGAGCCTCTTTCCGCTTGTTGCCGATTCACCTGGACTGTCATCGCCTCCTGGGTGGTGTTTGTGGACTGTATTATGTGGATATGTGCCTCCCGATGGGTTGTTCATATCCTGCTTTTACGTTGAGTGCTTCAGCACTTTCCTGGAGTGGGTGGTGCAGCAGGAGGCAAGGATCGACTCATTGCTGCATTACCTTGATTGCTTTTTGTGTGTGGGCCTTCCCTGACTTGTCGACTCTTGCGCGACTCGGCGGAGCGGGTTTTCCCGGGTCTTTAGGGTCCCCTTGGAGCACGATAAGACGGTGGGGTCGGTGACGTGCCTTAGCTTCTTGGGTATCAAAATTGACTCGGTGGCCATGGAGTGCCGGCTGCCGTGGGATAAGGTTGAGGGGATGTGGCGATGGCCATGGGTCTGAGGAGGATGCAGCTGTGCCAGCTGCAGTCTCTGTTAGGGAGGTTGACCTTCAACTGCCGGATCATGCCCATGGGGCAATTGTTCCGCAGGCGCCTGGTGGCCGCGGCTACTAGGACCGCTGCATTTTATCCGGCTCACGAGGCAATTGCGGGTTGACCTGGAAGTCTGGGATTCTTTCCTGACCCAGTATAATGGGAGGTCATCTTGACAGGCGCCAGAGGTGTCCAGTTCAGACTTGCACCTCTATACGGCTGGCTCTGTCTGGTTTGGGGAGATTCCGTGCTGGTGTGCTGACATGGCCGGCGGCATGGTCCACCTCCGGCTTGACCAGGAATCTTGCCTTCCTGGAGCTTTCCCATTGTGGTGGTATTGGTCTTGTGGGGTCGGGAGCTACAGGACCATCGGGTTGTTATTCACTGTGCCAACCTGGGGGTTGTCCAGGCGATTAACCTGCTCTCGGCCCCTTCTCTTTCGGTAATATGCCTGCTCCAGCGCCTGGTGCTTCGGTGCCCGTGTCTTAATGTGTAGTGTAGGTCCAGGTACTCCAGGGTATGCGTGGAATGGCAGGCGCTGGAGTCAGAGGTGGGTGTCTTTGTGGGTTCACCTGCTCGTTACAGGGTCTTTTGACTGCTGGAGAGTTGGGGTTTCGGCGGATATGTCGCCCTCGGTGGTGTCCTCGCGCTTGTCCGGGATGAATTTTCTGGTTATGCCCCAGGGTTGGGTGAACAACCAATAAACACGTAACATACAGTAAAAACACACCTATCAATAACACACAAATCCTCCCCTCTGCCTGTGATATAATCACTGAACACACTGGTTTAAAGTAATTATCACAGGCAGGAAAAATACACTTTTTATACATAAACTGTAACTTTAAATATATACATCCAATCTTCCTACATATTCAGAATCAGCATACTTTAAATATAAACATAACCAAAAATCATACAAATCCCTCCAGTAGATAAAAAGTTAGACGGAAGTCCTTTATGACTGACCGCAAGCACATTTTCCTGCCCAAAACAGTTCCATAGATTTGGGCTGTGCGGCCGGTCAATTTTATGCCGATCGGGACTTAGTTTTTGCAGCTGAAAATTCAGTGTAGGAGAAGGTAAGGGTCAGCGGTGTTCGTGGAGCTGTGTAGCTGATTTCAATTCCATGAATTTGGCTACACATACCGCTGACCGCATTTGAATGAACAAAGATGGCCGCCGCCACGTGTTGGTTTGCACGAACTGCGGCCACTCAGCGGTCAGTAATTTATGTACAGCAGGCTCCCAGCCTGGGAGGTAAATTGCCTGCACACTTCCACTTCTGGGTGGTCCGCCTGTGTGGTACTTGATTCAGTAAGCCCCATTTACTGAACCAAGTGGGAAAAGGGCACAAACAAAGTATTTTAGGGGACAGGGGACACAGTCTTAAAGGGGTATTGTTTTCACAAAGTCTCAATATGTCCCCAGACGGTTCTTAAAGGGCCAGCAGCAACACAATAAAAATCCATCATGCCCAAATACTGTTCTTAAAGGGCCACCTCCGGTCCATAGTCATGAGGAAGGAGGCTGGCAATTAGGCTTCTCCATAATACAGGGAAGCAGGGCAATTTGTCACTTAAAAAGACGGTTACAAAAGGCATTTTGTAACACCTGGGGTCGGTGCAGCTCGGAGGCTTGGTGGACATAGGGAAGTGGGACTTGTCCCAGATCCTTATATCATTTCCGGGGGTTTTGCATAGTGTGGTCAGAGGTTGTGGCGAGGAACTATTGGCGACAGGCACACAGCCAGAGTGCGCTGGAGCGCTGCCGCGAAGGGTTTAACCATCAGGTTTCACAGTTCGTTGTAGGGTTGGGGGGATACCCATTCTTCACAGGGTTTTTTGAGAAGGAGGCGGCAGATTTGTTTCGGCCGGATGGGATTCAGTTGACTGAGGTCGGGCTCGACCGTTTTAATCTGGCCATTTGAGAGACGGTGGAACAGGCCATGGTTGGTTTGTTTGGGGTTCCCTGCTGATTGTAGGCTTAAAACAGTGGGGTTGTGGTGGGGGTGTGTCTTTGCCAAGTAAGGGGTGGAGGTTTTTTGCAGGTTAGATGAAGGTGGGGGGTAATGGCCAGGTCTCATTGTAGCGGATGGCACTGGGCTGTCCTGCAAATGTCTTATGAATGACTGCATACGTGTAAATTGCTGGGTTTTTTGTATGTGTTTTAAAAGAATTGTATTCCTCTGATTGTTCGGTAGAATCATTCGAATAGACTAAGGGAATGAAACTACCGAACAACCAGACCTCCCCTGTGTGAAGTGTGTCCTCAATTACCCGTTGCAACATTGTTGCGAACGGGTAATTGACAAGTAAAGTAGCCGTCCTTTGTTCTTGGGGGTGGCCGCCATTCGACAAACGAACACGTGGCGGCGGCCATTTTAAAACTCCCGAACAGCGGTGTTTTGCCGTCGAGTGTCTGGAACTCAAAACGGACACTTGACTAGGCTAACACCGCTGAAACCTCCACAAGCCCGGTCCGTTCGGTTCCTAACTACCGAACGGCCCCTCGTTCGGTAGACTGGAAGAAACGAATGAGGGGATTCAGGCGAACCCTCCCTAGCCTCTATAGCTAGAGGCTTTCATACAGTTTATTCCCTTATTCCAGGACCGACCGCAGGGCCCATTCGCATGGAACCGCATTCGGCTGTCTCAGTCCGTGCGGTCGGTCATTTTATTCCCTCCATACATTTCCCAAACCCCTGGTTTGATCTGGGTGATTTTTGGATATCAGGGGATGTATGATTTATGGGGGTACCCCTACGTTTAGGGGTACATCCAGAAACGGGGGGAATTACTGTACTGGATAAGGGGATTATGATGCAGGTTGAGGGGAGGAGATGTGTGGGAGGTTACCAGGACAGGATTGGCTACTGTATTAATGATTGTAAATCCCTCCCTTGCATGGGAGCATGCTTTAAAAGGCCAGTGTGGAATAAAGCTTTCAGTTCTGCTCCTGAAACTGTGTGTCGTCCAGTTATTGGGATTGCTGTGGGGATATTGCTGTTATTTTACCTGCTGGAAACCTTGCCTGTGGATTTACTATTTACTTGTTCCTGAGCCTCACTTGGATTATAAGCGGAGATAACCTGGGGAATATTGCATCTCCGCTACACTCATCATCCCCTGTCTCTTTGGTGAACCTTAAGGGGTACCAAGTTGGACGTGTCCCCACCGAGCTAAAGCCAGCTGGTGGGGAGCATTATGGTCGGGCCCCACCGAGCTAAAAGCCTGCTGGTGGGGTGCCAAAAAAGGCAAGAGGAGTTTTTTTTATGCCGAGGGGGGAGGTGAAAGCCTTTGGGAAGAAGGAATGAGATTGGCAAGGATGTGTTAAACAAGTACTGTATGACATCATGCAGGTATTTACATGTTATTTATTTATGAGAATATTATGCAAAGTTATACATTGAAGGAGTCATGCAGCATTTGTGTTTTAATAAATGCTGTGGCCTGTTACTTCCAAGATTCAGTGTCTGTCTTTATTTGGGGGGAAGCTATGGCTTGGTAAAAGGTCATCCCATCCAATGCCCACTACGTACATGCAAGGCCCCAGAGAGCATGCGCAGCTTAGCGGGCAAGGGCACATGTATGAGTGTGGGAATGGATGAAACAGGATGGGCTGTTTATGTTGGGGGAGTGTTGTATGAGAGGAAGTGGGTGGTCACAATTGAGACTGACCTCAGTGCCATTTGGGAGCCGGGCCAGCAACAAGTTTCCCACCCACCCTCCATTTAGTTTTTTGGGCCTGGAGTGTTGTCACAGCAGGGGGGCGGGGGGGTGTCCTTGCTAAGTAAGGGGTGGTGGTTTTTGCAGGTTAGATGAAGGTGTGGAGTAATGGCCGGATCTCATCCTCCCCTGTCTCTTTAGTGAACCTTAAGGGGTACCAAGTTGGACGAGGGTGGGAGGTGAGAGCCTTTGGGAAGAAGGAATGAGATTGGCAAGGATGTGTTAAACAAGTACTGTATGACATCATGCAGGTATTTACATGTTTTTTTATTTGAGAATATTATGTAAAGGAGTCATGCAGTATTTGTGTATTAATAGATGCTGTGGCCTGTTCCTTCCAAGATTCGGTGTCTGTCTTTATTTGGTTTGGTAAAAGGTCATCCCATCCAATGCCCGCTACGTACATACAAGAATCCTGTGTCCCTGGAGGAGTAAAGGTAGAAAAACAGATCTACACCTGAGTAAGGCAATGCAGAAAAAATTAGGCAGGCTCCAGACTATAAAGGCATTATAAACTAGTAGAGAAAGAAACCTACCCATGCCTGGGAGCCAGCAGCCGCCTCACGTGGCGTCCCTTCGTCCTATGGGGGGAAACCCAAGGGCTGCACTTCCCACGGAGAACAACCCCCAGCTGGGGGAGGGACAGAAAGCACCCACGCTCTCCCCTATTCGTTCCGGTCACAATGTTGGCCGCGGCTGAGTGTAGTAGCGCAAGCAAGGTCAGTAGGAGAGGGGGCTCCAGTCATCGGGATGTGCTGCTGTGGAGTTCCAGTAAAGAGAGACTTAAGCAAATATGAAGCCTCCTGTCATGTTATAAAATTGGGGAATTTACTGTTAGTGCTGCTTACTGCTAGTTAGGGGTTAACAGTAAAAAAGAAAGTTTATAAAAAAGTGTAAAGAATGTTTTAAGAAAATTTTCAAAAGTAAAAAATGAATAAGTAAAAAAAGTTTAAAACAAGTTTTAAAAAGTAAAAAAAGTAAACAAAATACATTAAAAATGCTCATTACCACTCCACCTGGAACAAACTAGCGGAAAAATGATCCGACGCTAAGGTTCAAAATATGCCTTTTTAAATGCCCAGGGGTGTATTCTTCATAAATAGTATGTGTTTGTGGGGAAGTTTAAATAACCAACTAGCTAAACTACTCCAAAATCGAACATGGACACAGCGTAAAACTTTAATGTTAGAAAAAAACTGAATGGCTGCGTCTCAAATGTGCCCCTTCAACATCCACATATACCTGATTATACAGTCCTAGTACACATAATCTTTGCAAAATATACTGTGCAAACTCACTTTGTGTGTCAAAAAGGCAACAAAAAATGCTTATTACCACTACACTTGGTACAAGCTTCCCTCACCACAAACATTGACATAAATTGGTGAAAAAATGGTGACAAATTAAGGCACATTATATACACCAAAGATAACCTGGATTGTCTGTGTTATCAAATGAAAGCTATTTGAACAGTGAAACTGCTATAATACCCCAAAATGAGACCTAGGCCCATCATATCCATCTATGAAAATTCTAACTATAGGAACTGAAATAGCCTGGTCTCTAATATGGCATTGTAGCTTCACAGAATAGTGCCAAATGCCTACAATGGGGGTATTGTTATACTCCACAGATGTAGCTGAACACAATATAAGGTTCTGTGCAGGAATAGCACACACCAGCTTTACAAAATGCACATTACAAAAACCTTGTTATGTGTATATGCCAAAATAGTTACTCCAATATTTAGCAGAGATTGGAGATGAAATGGCTTCATAAAAAGTATCAAACTAACCTTAGGTAAATAGCCTGTGATGTCTACTTTATATAAATATATACTTTGTGTGGCAATTTATTTTTCTGTGATGGCTACTAAACCTACAAGACAAACATACCAACTTCTAAAATTGTTTCACATTAAAATATTATTTTAGTCCTTGTATTTTGTGACCTGTAACTTTCAAAATAAGCTGAGATCCTATCCATATTATGTATTCTATAAATCAAGACACATAAATTAATTTATTTTGAATAACTTTTTCTAAGCTGGACAAATTATGCACACGCTATTATTGGCAAAACTGTGGAAAAAAAGTGTTTTTGTTTTTTTCCCATTTTTGGCATTTTTTCTATAATTAATGATAATTTATCTGTGTATATGTGTCACCAAATTAAAGCCCCTTTTGCTCTCTAAAAAAACAGTATATAATATGTGTTGGTGCAGTAAATAACAGAGATGCAAATTGCGTTTGAACACAAACAGCAAAAGATGCAAATATTGCTTGTGTCCTTAAAGGGACACTATCGTCACCTGAACAACTTTAGCTTAATGAAGCAGTTTTGGTGTATAAAACATGCCCCTGCAGCCTCACTGCTCAATCCTCTGCCATTTAGGAGTTAAATCCCTTTGTTTATTAACCCTAGTCACACCTCCCTGCATGTGACTTGCACAGCCTTCCATAAACACTTCCTGTAAAGAGAGCCCTATTTAGGCTTTCTTTATTGCAAGTTCTGTTTAATTAAGATTTTCTTATCCCCCGCTATGTTAATAGCTTGCTAGACCCTGCAAGAGCCTCCTGTATGTTATTAAAGTTCAATTTAGAGATTGAGATACAATTATTTAAGGTAAAGTACATCTGTTTGAAAGTGAAACCAGTATTTATTTTCATGCAGCCTCTGTCAATCATAGCCAGGGGAGGTGTGGCTAGGGCTGCATAAACAGAAACAAAGTGATTTAACTCCTAAATGACAGTGAATTGAGCAGTGAAATTGCAGGGGAATGATCTATACACTAAAACTGCTTTATTTAGCTCAAGTAGTTTAGGTGACTATAGTGTTCCTTTAAGGGTAAGTCCAGTTTTTGAAGCTGTGTCCTTAAGGGGTTAACGAAAACAACATGAGCACGCTTACAGTAAACAATAACAATATCTAAAAATATAATGATAGCAACTAAACACATAAAGAACTTCCCCAAATTCCAAGCACTTAAAATATACAAAAACATTGTCAGCGCTTAGTGAATATTCCCCCAGAGTCAATAATCGGGGGTAACACTAAAAGTATAACACGTTATATGTAGAGCGTTCTGAGACCTCTAGTGTACATCTGGTCGAATTTTTTTAATTTTTTTACCCCATTTGAAAAAGCCACAACGGCGAAACGCGTTATTGGATGTTTTATTTTGTATTTAAATAAAGGAATTCTTTTGGACAAATATACCTAGATTTGTGGCAATTTTTAATTTTTTTAAATTAATTTTTTGTTACCTGACTTTTTAACCACCACTCTAAAGAAATCCGAGGTGGGGATGATACCACCAGAGCCGATACCGAAGAGCAGTCAGCCTGCTCTGTGTTGTGTGAGTATATTTTATATATCTTTTTACACTTGGGTTTTATCTTATTGAGAACACTATTGTTGCCCCCCTACTTTTGTGTCGTTTGAGCTCCAGCTAACCCAAAGACTGAGGATACCTACAGTATATCCCAAAGTGGGGATTGTACCACTACAAGCGCTAGACGCTAGAGCTGGCTATAGCTCTGCCAAATGTGAGTGTATTATTATTATTATTCCACCATAAACACTTTATACGATACATATTGCACTATTAGGTCCTTTCTCTCTTCTCTCCATTTCATATGATCGAATTGAGACTGATTAAGGATACCATTCCCAAGCTTTAAGAATCCACATCTCCTGTTGAATATACCATAAAGACATCATCTGGTGTGAACCTATACCTCTGGGCTTCCTGTCATTGACTCCATTACTCCATGTGGCACAGCCCCTATTTATCTTTATACATTTCTGTTTTTTGTTCAAAGGGTGAGAGGTTTCCCCTTTGTTGTAGTTGCTGCCTACCCATTGATATATAACGCTAGTGATGTCCCGAACGGTTCGCCGCGGACTCCAGTCAGCAGACACATTCCAGCCAATCAGCAGCAGACCCTCCCACCTCCTGGACAGCATCCATTTTGAAGCTGCATTCTTAGTGAGCTGTCCAGGAGGTGGGACGGCCTGCTGCTGACTGGCTGGAATGTGTCTGCTGACTGGAGTCCGTGGCGAACCGTTCGGGACATCACTAATCAACGCTGATCCATTTCCTGTGTACGTCTGGTATAATGTAGTATCAATCAGGGAGGTCGGGTATATTCTGCCAAGTTCAAATGTATCCAAAAGCAATGTATCCTGCAAGTCTATACAGTGTGATACCTTTAAAGCAGCACATATAGTGTAATATTGCACAATGTAGAATTGCAGACTCCCCAATCCCCCAAATGGAATCCTTCCATAAACAGATGTGATATTGTTTCCAATAACCACAATGTCAGCATTAAACAGTTGCGTTATGGAAGTGTTACCACGCCGTCTGTCTCCTTTTTGACGACTGTCTCCTCATGCAGATCGGGGTATGCGTTCCGAAAGACAGAGTGACGCCTCTACCACACACCGCAGTAGTAACTGGGAGGCTCTAAAGGACGCTCTACATAAACGCGTTTCGCCCGCTTCCTGTGGGCTTTGTCAAGATGACAGGCGGCGGTGATGGGTAGTAGTATCTCTCTCTCGTGGCATAATCCCAAATTATTTGCTTTTAAATCCAGTGTCGTTTTATGGTAGAGAAATTAACATTCAATTCAAGGGCAACAGCTCTGGTGGACATGTCAGCATGCCAATTGCATGATCCCTCAAAACTTGCGACATCTGTGGCATTGTGCTGTGTGATAAAGCTGCACATTTTAGAGTGGTCTTTTATTGTGGCCAGCCTAAGGCACACCTGGGCAATAATCATGCTGTCTAATCAGCATCTTGATATGCCACACCTGTGAAGTGGATGGATTATCTCAGCAAAGGAGAAGTGCTTACTAACACAGATTGAGACAGATTTGGGAACAATATTTGAGAAATAGGTCTTTTGTGTACATAGAAAAAGGCTTAGATCTTTGAGTTCAGCTCATTAAAATGGGGGCAAAAACAAAAGTGTTACGTTTATAATTTTGTTCAGTGTATGAACAAATAATAAAACAATCTCTTTATTTAAATATTCTAAAATGAGATCAGTGTAATCTAAAAAGTACCAAAACAATATATATAGTTATTCATTCTCTTTGGAGGTGATGATACCATTCTCATAGATATAAAAAAAAAAATATTTAAAACCTTAATACATTTTATCAATTCAAATTTCTTCAGTATGTTACCTACAGCTGCACCTTTTTAGTTTGCGCACACACACACTTAGACCAGTACACAGATCTTGTGATAGAATTTATCTTGATTCCAAGGCTCAAGCTTATAGGTGTCATATTATATATCCTTTTATTAAAATTGGCTAACTTGGACTCAGGAAATGCTTGATGCTTAAAACGACACTTAAGACCATATATGTCTAGTTCCGGGAGCAGATAGCCCCCACCTGAGCTGTCTCTCCTAAATCAGTCTGTTTCTTCTCTTTCTCGGAACCTGTTATATATACATGACATTCATCCCTATGTCTTATCTGTACTCCTTTCACCCCCTTCCTACAACTGTCCTATGAGTATTTGCACGTAAGCACTTACTTTTTAATGTATAAAACCCAGCTGATGAATAAAACGTCAGAGGCTTATTTTGAATACCAACAGGTGTCTGGTGTCTAATTCACGCTTCTCCAAGTGCACTTGAAATAATATTTTGGGCTTCCTCTGAATATAACAAAGATCGATATTTGGATCTATGTCAGTCTCCAGGGTCAGGACGCAGGAGTTCCTTTAGTTGACCCAAGGTTTGGGATTACACCCTCTGTTAACTTATTCTGACATACTGAGGTAGACTAACCGGGAGAACTACTGTTACACCTTCTTTACTCTATTGTCCATGCCTGATCTGCCACAAATTAATACCCCCCTGATAATTCGGGCTTGACCGACCACAGACTGAGCGGGAGATTGCCCCGTACCCAGCTGGTTTGGACCGGGGAATTTACCTACCTCAGTCGCTCTAACAGGAGCATTAGTTGCTCGTTACTGTTAGCATCCAGCCTACCTGGCCCCTACCGTGCTCTGTAACCGCCTTTTAGGAGCAGCCCCACCCACGCAAGCACGTCACACTCAGCTCCACTCCGGTCAGGCGGACTTGTGACCTGGAGTGACCAGCGACCCGGGACCCTACTGGCAAACCCCCCTGAGCATGGGTAGAATGAACCTGGGAACTAGCACCTTTTCCCCCGTGGAACTCAAACCCCTCTCGATTAATGCCCGCGGGCTTAACACCCCTGAAGAGCTTGCTTGCTCTAAAAGATTTTAAAGCTCAAAATGCCCATATAGTTTATTTACAGGAAACTCACTTCAGGGAAGATAGTGCACCAAAATGAAACAATCATATCTTTACACAAGGCTACTATGAGAATCGCCCTGCAGGCAAATCGAGGGGAACCGCGATACTAATACACAAATCTGTCCCATTCATACAGACCGAGACCAAAACAGATGGTAATGGCCGTTCTATATTTGTTAAGGGTTCGCTACTGGGACAGAACATCACCTTAGCCAACATCTACGCACAGAACACCAAACAAGGAAGATTTTTAAAGTCCACATTCAAGATGCTAATGTCCTTTACTGACAGATTCCTGATCCTAGGGGGTGACTTTAACATTGCCTTCGACCCACGGATAGACACCTCGGCAGGCTCATCATCAATGCTGGAGCAGATCCTCCTAACGATCAGACACTCCTTTCATACCCACCGCCTCATTGACTGCTGGAGGGCCATGCACCCGACGGACAGACACTACACACATTACTTTCTATCCCACTCTAGATACTCATGCCTGGATTACTTTTTCGGACCTTACTGTTACCTCTCCCAGGTCAGACAGGTAAACATAGGTCCCTCCACTCTCTTTCGACCCCACACCACCCACTGATGCCGTAATGAAACTCTTCTTAGATGCGACCCTGGTTGCAGACGCACACACGACGCTGACGGAAAACACGACAGTCGAAACACCTGCACCAATTATCTGGTGAATGCTGAGAGACTGCGATCAGAGACCTCACGGACAAAATCCAGGAATTAGAAACTCGACATAAAACTGTCCACACCCTGGACACATATCAAGAACTAGCTTAGGTGAGAGGGCAACTCTCTCCCCTCAGGCATCATCTCCAATGTTCAGTACACCAAAGCGGAACAAAATGTACATATGTCACGACTACTAGTGTGGTCCAGCACGCAGAAACTATGTAAACATATACATAGGCAAGAAAAGGAAAATTAAAAGGACAGAGCGTAAACCGGACGTTAGAATGGCCGGACTAATACGCTAGAGACAGAGAATGGTCAAAGGGAAAGCCGAGGTCAAGGAAGCCAGAAAATACACAATACCGTTTACACAAGCCAAGTCAGGGAAACCAGAATTCAGAATAACCAGGGAAAAGCCAAGATCAGGATACCAGGAAATCAGATTCACAAAGATAAAGCGCACTCAGGAAACCACGACAGGGCAAGGGACTGGAGTGAGCTAGGGGTTTAAATATCCCTCTCTAAGGTCTGATTGGTCAGAGGTCGCCCTCTGACCCCAAAACGTGCGTGCGCGTTGACGTTGTGACGTCACGCGCACGTCAGTATAAACTTGGGGGGCGGAGCTATGTTTAGAAGCTATGTTTAGGCGCGACCATGCGGTAAGCACCATTTTGGATCCGGGCGCTACGGCTGGAGGATGCGGGGAAGCGGCTGTCGGCTCGCCGACGAGCAGGTAAGCTCGTGCTGTCGGCGAGGCTGTGCCGGTTGGGCACAGCTGTGCCACGCGGCGGGCCGGCAGCCATGACAACATAACTGGCCTATGTGATACCAGGGCCAGCCACACAGAATACCAACACACATCGCTGAAGTAGTACGCAATTACTTTAAAACGCTGTACTCAAAGAATCAGCCAGCGGACACCTC